GTTACAGTGCCTCCTCCCTCTTGTGCCAGTGACTCCTCACTTTTGTGTCACTGACTCCTTACCCCTGTGCCACTGACTCCGCACCCCTGTTACAGTGCCTCCTCCCTCTTGTGCCAGTGACTCCTCACTTTTGTGTCACTGACTCCTTACCCCTGTGCCACTGACTCCGCACCCCTGTTCCAGTGCCTCCTCCCTCTTGTGCCAGTGACTCCTCACTTTTGTGTCACTGACTCCTTACCCCTGTGCCAGTGCCTCCGCACCCCTGTGTCCCAGGGCTGATGCTGACATATAGGTCATTGAGTCAGGAAGGCTGTGTACCAGTTTCCACTCGCATTTTGGTTTCTACAGATGACTGATATGGGGTGGCACAGTTGCAGGTCCCGCCTGCCCTGCTTCCATGTGTGTGGAGTGTTCATTCTCTCCCCCTGTCACCATGGCGTTTTCTCTGGTTTCCCCCCACAGTTCAAAAACATGCTAAGTTATGCAAGGTTAGTCCCCATAGGTGTGACTGGTGTGCGAGTGACTGGTGTGCGAGTGACTGGTGTGCGAGTGACTGGTGTGCGAGTGACTGGTGTGTTTGTGTGCCCTGCGATGGGTTGGCGCCCCATCCTGGGTTGTTCTCTGCCTTGTGTGCATAGGCTCCGCACCCCCGCAACCCTGAATAGGACAAGCTACAGAGAATTGATATAATGGATGAAACATGAGATTTTATACCAAGCAGAAGCATCAACCAAACAGTTGCACCAGTCCATACATCCATCCTTCCATGTTCTGCTTGTTTGTTTGGGGGAAATTTCATCTCTCCCTCTCTCCCTCTCTCTCTCTCTCACTGCCTGCAGGGTGACCATGGCCCCCCAGGCCCCGACGGCCCCCCCGGCCTAGCAGGCCTGCCTGGACCCATGGTCAGTACACTCCACACCCACACTTTGTCCATTGTAGGAAATGCCAGCAGGATTCATGATTCAATGCTGCCCCAGCATCTAATGCTTTGCCATATACAGGCTTCCAGTAATTACACCTTTATCTGTTTTTTTGTCCAGCTGCACTGTACAGCAGGCTGCCATGTCATTATTATCATTATCCGTATTAATATTTGACAGTTTTAGCCAATGAATAGCGACGATGCAGATCGTGCTGTTTCATCATTGGTGGGCATCAAGCAAACACTAAGAAGTATGTAGAGCATCCCCTGAACGGTACCGTCCGTCTTGTCTGTGTCTTCGGCAGGGACCGGCTGGGAAGAAGGGCGATCCAGGGCCAAAGGTGTGTGCTAGAGCTTCTCTGACCAGCCATCATGATGCATCTAGAGCTTCTCTGACCAGCCATCATGATGCATCTAGAGCTTCTCTGACCTGCCATCATGATGCATCTAGAGCTTCTCTGACCTGCCATCATGATGCATCTAGAGCTTCTCTGACCTGCCATCATGATGCATGGAGCCACAGCACAGAGGAGCTCAGTGATCTTCTGTGTTTCAGGGAGAGCCGGGCCAGAATGGGAGCAGCATCGTGGGGGCCCCGGGGCCCCCCGGACCCCCTGGACCAGCTGTTAACCTGCAGGATGTAAGTGGCGAGTGCCATTTGCCAGTGTCTACCTCTACCTGTGTATTGATGGGTGTTTCCGGGCTGGGTGATGTCACAGTGACAGTGAATTAGCTGCCTCTGGATGACAGTTTCCTATGTTTGGAGACATACGGAGGCCCCCAGGACATAACTCCTCTCATGCTCCCCCAATTAGCTCCTCACTGACGCAAGTTTCCTCTGTCTTTGTATAGAGCCGTTGTCTTAGCCCTTGTACCGACTCTCTGTGCCTTTGTGTCTCCCACGTGTCTCAGGGCCCCGAAGGCGTGCCCGGACGCCCCGGATTTCCCGTAAGCTTCTCTCGGCTACGCTGAATGTCTTCTGTGGAACGTTGGCTGTTGTGGTCACTGGACTGCTGAGAGTTTGCCTCTTCCTGTGCCGAACACGTCCATATGAAAGCAAAATGTCACTATAAGCACAGCATCACACAGCAAAAGCCACTCTGAAAGACGGCTTGCAATGCTGATGTCTGTAACTGCAGAATAACATGCAGCTGCAGTGTTCATTGAGTGACAAACTCAGTGGAACAAGAAACTTCATGACGTCGTTCCTCATCAAGTTCCACGACACGCTGAGGTTTTCGGGAATCCCACACCTGATACTAATCGGGTGGAGAGGCCTTAACAGCACAAATACCAAAACTTTACTTTGATGTTATTAGTTTATGCAGGGAAACAGTCCCTAATCATGGATAAATTGACATAGAAGGATTTGTGGTCATTTGAAGCATCGTGATTAATGCTGCTTTGGTCTATCAGATGGAGACCAGCTCATTACGCTCTTTATACTCAGAGCCGCGGCGGATTCTCCTGGGAAGCGGCACTCAGCCTCCTGTGCGGCGTTTCACAGTCAGAGATCCAGGCGTATCTGGACCACAGCGCACAGTATCAGGCCCATAGATAACGAGGCGCTTACAGACACGGCTGAGCTCAGGATTCTTGCTCTTACGAATTTCTCCACACTGCTTTTTTGTGTAACAATGTCTTTATGCATTTATTAAATAATTACTCAAATCCTATTTTTCTGCTCTCCTGGAAGAAAAAATAGGTATGTGTTGCATTTATTGGACAGTATCGGAGCTAAACCATGCTTCCTATAATTCATAACATATATGGCATTTTTCTGAAGACTTTAATATTTGGATTTCAGATGTCATGTTGCAGTCACATGGTGTTGCTGATGCTTCATATCACAGGAGAAAATTCATAATCAGCAATTCAATCCCCACCATGCCACAGTTTTACAGTTGCAAAACATGCCCTATTCTTCTTGCAGGGGCCAAGGGGCCCGAAGGGGGACATCGGAGTGCCGGGTCTCCAGGGGCCTCTGGGACTAAAGGTGAGAATTGGAATGGGCCCCCTGAGCAGTGCCAGGACCTGCCAGGTTTATTGGCTGAGCAGGCCGACGGCTTTATTGAAGGTGGCAGCAGGCACAACAGAAAATTCAAAGCATGTTGAACGGACACCTTGAATCGACTGTACAGGGCATGATGTTGCTGTGTGTGATCAAGTTATGTCTGTATAGATTTTATAGCAAATGCAGCTCAGATACATGGAATGACTCAAATCAGAGGCAGGCCAGAGAATGTAAACTCCGAATGACTCAAATCAGAGGCAGGCCATGGAACGTAAACACCGAATGATTCAAATCAGAGGCAGGCCAGGGAACGTAAACACCGAATGACTCAAATCAGAGGCAGGCCATGGAACGTAAACACCGAATGACTCAAATCAGAGGCAGGCCAGGGAATGTAAACACCGTCCCAGAAAGCAATAGTCTGCTGTGCAGGGCTTCCTGGGCCTTATACGCATGTGAAGATCATTATCCCCGCCTGCATGTCTAGGGCGAGAAGGGTGAGCCGGGCACAGTCATCGCCGCAGACGGGTCCCTGGTGTCCGGGCTGCGGGGTCCCCAGGGCCCCAAAGGGGTTAAGGTCAGTACCGTGCCATTTCTCGAGGCTGTCAGCAGGTACGCTTGCTGCTTGCTAATGCCTGCGCTGGTGTGTTGTGCAGGGTGACCACGGCACGCCTGGAGCTCCTGGATTTGTGGTAGGTGTGTCAATTCCATGTCTCCAGTGCGCGGCACCTGATTCTGATTTGTCTGTGTTGCACTCTGATAGCTGAGGTTTTCACGCCAGCTCACATGTGAGGAGCTGTTCTTTCATTTATGCTCGGACGTGTTCTTTGGTGGCGATTGTCTTTCTGGAGCTGCTGCTGTTGATTTTGAAAGGTCGTTGCAGTTATGCTGACTGTTAGGCCAATGGCTGAGTGTCGGGCATTTCTGCACATCACAGATAAAAGTCAACTTCCTTACAAAAGAATGATGCCCTTTCTGCTGTGTTACAGGGGCCAGTAGGACCTCAAGGACCAAAAGGAGAATACGGCTTTCCTGGGCGTCCAGTAAGTGCTTCACTGCGCCCTTCCAAGAAATGTGGCTCTTTTATGGTCTTTCTTTTAACTGAGATGCTTGAACATGGTCATGTGATATCCCAGCATGCTGATTGGTGCGCTGGCTGAAAGGCCTGCGTCAGGATGTGTCCCCAGCCGGGGGGGCGTCACCCCCTAGTGCTGCTCCTGCTACCACAGTCTGCAGAACTTAGTGTCGTCTGTCACCCCCCAGGGTCGACATGGGGCTGTGGGCCAGAAGGGTGAGAAAGGAGACTCCGCAGGTCTGCCGGTGAGATTCGCCCGCGCTCGCAGCCACAGGGAGGGGATCCTGAGGGGGGGGTGGGGGGTGAACCACACATGGATGAAACATGAACAGCAGCATGAGAGACTTTCCCATGCAGCTGCACATGTGCGTTGGCTGTTCGATGTGTGTATCTCTCAGGTCTCACCGATGTGTTGGTGCACCTGACTTTTACGCCACTATTGCATAAGCATTAAATGTTAAGAACAGTCAGCCTAGGAAGTCTGGCTGATGGTGCTGCCTCTGTCACTTTCAGAGGGTGGTGTAAGGCGTAGCAGGCCTTCTGCCTCCGTCACTTTCAGAGGGTGGTGTAAGGCATAGCAGGCCTTCTGCCTCCATCACTTTCAGAGGGTGGTGTAAGGCGTAGCAGGCCTTCTGCCTCCATCACTTTCAGAGGGTGGTGTAAGGCGTAGCAGGCCTTCTGCCGTGAAAGCTCACTGTCTCCCTCTGCTGTTTGGTTTGGGTTTTGTGGAAAGAAAAATCCCAATTTTGTCCTTTTACTGGTGATGCACCTGAAAGCTGTAGCACTGGGCACTGGTGTTTCTTCCGGTCCAAAGATATGTCACCTGACACCTGTGTCTCCTCCCAGGGTCCTCCGGGACCTCCGGGTCGACCGGGAATCCCAGGACGCGTCATTGGCCTGAACGGGGTGAGTTTGTCCTTGGGTCTCGCTTCTCACTTGTCCCGCCGTGTTTCTCTCATTGTCTTTGTCACACTGTTGCTCTATTCTGAATCAACTCAATGCATTTTCCTCTAAATTTTAAAGACAGTCTTTCCGGTTCCTCCGCGACCTCACTGCAAAACACCAGTAAGTGAATGAGAAGCCTCCGTAGGCTGGAGGAAGCCTGTGTCAGACAGACGCGGGGAGAGAGGCGCGTGTGCTTGGGGCTTCCGTGACCCTTAACCGAAACGAGGAGAGAGGCGTGTGTGCTTGGGGCTTCCTCAGCCCTTAACGGACGCAGGCTTGATTAAAAGTCCCCCCTTAAGCATGCTGCATGGCGTAAGGTTTAGGCTTTGGGGTGTTTGGGCTCATTTTAAGGTGTTATGAAGACTAACAATGAGAAAGCAAGGTGACCTTCCAGAAACAACACAGTATTGGGATTGTCCTACAAACGGTCAATGCTTATGGTGTCTGCCTTTAAATTTCAGTTTGATGTTGCGTTTTTGGAAAGCCACCTTCAGTTCACATTCCCATCTAAGCCCGGGAGTCTTTTCATTCTGTATTTTTTGGGTGTCTTTGGTACTAACTGCCATTATTCTTCATTGGCTGTCATGGGCACATCTTCCCAAAGCCGCTTCCCAAACAATGACAAAAGGGGAAGCTTTTAATCATTTACTAATTTTTGTAAACTTATAAATATGTTGCTTGGTTTTGTATCTGGCTTGTTAATAATGTCAGTCTCTTACAGACTGCCTCATTTTGGCCTCTGTTCAGCAGAATAATTAGATTAGATATAAATATCATGCCAGATTTGTCCTTCTCTGCTTTGTGCAGGTGAGCGGTAATCGGGACGCCCCACAAGGTAAGCTCATGCCCTGCAGCTCATTTTATCATTTTCTAGGATGCGAAGTTTCTGATATTGCTTAGCCATTTATTTTGTTAGCGCTGTTAAAAGTTATTAGTGCGCAGAACATGGGAACAAGGATAGCACAAGGGAACAAGGATAGTACAAGGGAACAAGGATAGCACAAGGGAACAAGGATAGCACATGGGAACAAGGATAGCACAAGGGAACAAGGATAGCACATGGGAACAAGGATAGCACAAGGGAACAAGGACAGCACATAGGTTAAAATGCGGCTGCTTTTTTCTTTTTAGTTATCTACCAATAGGTGTTTTCCTAAGGATTTGCACGTCATATTTATACCTGTGGGAAAGACAGCTTGGATCAGAAACATGTGGCACTGAGGAAAGGAGGATTTTAACTGCTTCTTTGGAGGGGGGTCAGGGGATTTTGAACTACACAATCAAAAAAGGAGTCAAAAAGGCTGCTTTAGCCTGGACTGTAAAAAATTAGCAAAACATCTCATTGGGTCTGTATTTACCACTGTAAATACCCTTCCACAGTAAATACAGACCCAATGAGATGTTTTGCTAATTTTTTACAGTCCAGGCTAAAGCAGCCTTTTTGACTCCTTTTTTGATTGTGTAGTTCAAAATCCTTGTTCCCTTGTACTATCCTTAATTTTTTAAGGATAAATCCTTGTTCCCTTGTACTATCCTTAATTTTTTACTGATGTAAATAATGAATAAATATTGACAAAAAGTGATGCAAATCCATAACTTCTCCTTCTGGAGTGGGTCCTGATTCCACAGCCCCCACTATGAGTATTTAAAGATGATAGGGAGCACGAAACCAAAACCTGCATGGTTAGTCAAGGTCCGCTAGTCTTGGCTAGTCTAGCTGTCAGACAGCTGCCCGGAAACAGAGAGCCTTAGCGCTCCGCAGCAGTGACCCCCTGAGGCCGTGCTGAGGATCTGCGGGGGCTGCTCGTGCACTAAGCCTTAATGCTCCGCAGCAGTGACCCCCTGAGGCCGTGCTGAGGATCTGCGGGGGCTGCTCGTGCACTAAGCCTTAACGCTCCACAGCAGTGACCCCCTGAGGCCATATTGAGGATCTCCAGGGGCTGCTCGTGCACTAAGCCTTAACGCTCCGCAGCAGTGACCCCCTGAGGCCAGGCTGATGATCTGCGGGGGCTGCTCGTGCACTAAGCCTTAGCGCTTCGCAGCAGTGACCCCCTGAGGCCAGGCTGATGATCTGCGGGGGCTGCTCGTGCACTAAGCCTTAGCGCTCCGCAGCAGTGACCCCCTGAGGCCATATTGAGGATCTGCGGGGGCTGCTCGTGCACTAAGCCTTAGCACTCCGCAGCAGTGACCCCCTGAGGCCATATTGAGGATCTCCGGGGCTGCTCGTGCACTAAGCCTTAACGCTCCGCAGCAGTGACCCCCTGAGGCCGTGCTGAGGATCTGGGGGGCTGCTCGTGCACTAAGCCTTAANCTCCGCAGCAGTGACCCCCTGAGGCCGTGCTGAGGATCTGGGGGGCTGCTCGTGCACTAAGCCTTAACGCTCCGCAGCAGTGACCCCCTGAGGCCATATTGAGGATCTCCGGGGGCTGCTCGTGCACTAAGCCTTAGCGCTCCGCAGCAGTGACCCCCTGAGGCCAGGCTGATGATCTGCGGGGGCTGCTCGTGGGTCTTCATTGCTTCCTGCCTGTCATGTGGCACAGAGTCAGTTCTGGGCTCTTGGCTGTGTCATGCCCTCTGAACTGCCTGTCTCTGCTCTGCACCTTCTTTCAGGCTCGTCTGTGGGACGGGACAGGAGGAAGGAGGCTATGGGGGCCAAAGGAGAGAAGGGGGAGCCAGGACCTGCGGGGGAGCCTGGATCGCCAGGTGCTGTACAGTGCTGAGCATGGTTATACCCTCAGAGCGTGGGAGAGTACCAGCTTATGCTTCTGCAGTCACTGCACATTGAGTATGGTTATACCCTCAGAGCGTGGGAGAGTACCAGCTTATGCTACTGCAGTCACTGCACATTGAGTATGGTTATACCCTCAGAGCGTGGGAGAGTACCAGCTTATGCTCCTGCAGTCACTGCACATGGACAATGCATTGTGCCACTCGCACTGAGATTCTGGAGTACCTCACAAACAATATCATATTTTTTGTTTTATAAGGGTACTTTACTTGAACTACACAATGTTCGACAAAACTATACTTTTTCTTATATACGTTCACAGTACAGTTTCATGGTAATAAAATTAGTTGCTTTTCTGGAAAATGAATAACCATCACCAGTTTTCTCGAGGTGCTTCTATCTGTGTTTGTTATCCAAGGGCCATTGTCCAGTTTCCTTTCTTCGACTGGCATGGCAGCCTTCCGTCTGCAGAACCAATCAAAACCATTCTTTTTTCCCCTACACAGCTCCCGTACTTCCTGACAACTTCCTGGTGAGTCTGCTCTCGTGCCTTAGCTGCTAGGGGGTGGTGTCCAGTGAAGGTCACATGGTTCTGTAGGGGATGAAATGTAGGTGGTAGGATGAGGTGACTCTATTAGACAGTATGCTAGATAAAAGATAAATTTCTTAAACTAAAATTAAATTTGACTTGCTGGTCACTGCAGATCATTCTAAGAACATCTTGCGGGTCATACATCCTGTATCAAGGTATATGTATAATATAACTTTATAGCATAAAGTTTAAGTAAACTTTCAAATAGCCAGATGATGGCTTTGGGGATGGTGCCAGAAGGTCAAGGGTTCGAATTCCCCTTCTGAATCTCTGAAGTTTGCTCCTGCAGTCCAAAAACCTGATTATGCAAAATGGTGTCCCTACATTGTCCTTAGTGTGTGATTGTGTGTGTGTGCCACCAACGCGTGTCACCCGCCAGGTGTCTCCTGACATCCCAGCTCACTGCGCCCCAGACCTGAATTGGTGCCTAGAAGGTGGATCGTCACAGTGACATTTGGGCACCGTCATTGTGTCACTGTCACTGTGTTTTTGTCCTATTAATCCCACAGTCGGTGGATGAGCCTTTACTGGGCTGGTTCTTTTTCAGGGGAACAAGGGAGACAGAGGCTACAAAGGGGAGAAGGGGCAGAGGGGAGACGCGGGGGTCCTGGGCGTCCCCGGGCTGCCCGGCAGGTCGGGCCTGGTGGTGAGTCATGGCTGTGCCACATGAGGCAGAGCAATCGCTTTCTGAGATGACTCTCTTTCCTGCAGTAAAACCTGCGATGTGATTAGCCGAGACGCAAAGTGGAACTGCACGATGGCAGCCATACTGCTGTTTACCGATCAGTCACACGTCACTGAAGGGAGAGGACAGGCCAGGCACTCTGGCTAAAGATGGTCGGTTCACTTAAATCCAATTGTAACAGCACTGTTGTTAGTCACAAAATGTCTGGATTTAGTTTGTCGGCATGTTCCAGAAGAGTTCCACAACACAGCACTTGGAATCTGGCCTTGTTTACTGGGACTTTTATAATGAGAACAACAAGATGGGAGTAGTTTTCTGTTTGAACAGTGCATATCCGTGTTTATCTTATAGGGTTACATGTGCATATCCGTGTTTGTCTTATAGGGTTACATGTGCATATCCGTGTTTGTCTTATAGGGTTACATGTGCATATCCGTGTTTGTCTTATAGGGTTACATGTGTATATCCGTGTTGGTCTGATAGGGTTACACGTGTACATGTGCATATCTGTGTTAGTCTTATAGGGTTACATGTGCATATCCATGTTTCTTATAGGGTTATATGTGTATATGTGCATATCCGTGTTTGTCTCATAGGCTTACATGTGCATATCCGTGTTTGTCTTATAGGGTTACATGTGCATATCCGTATTTGTCTCATAGGCTTACATGTGCATATCNTTTGTCTCATAGGCTTACATGTGCATATCCGTGTTTGTCTTATAGGGTTACATGTGCATATCCGTATTTGTCTCATAGGCTTACATGTGCATATCCGTGTTTGTCTTATAGGGTTACATGTGCATATCCGTGTTTGTCTTATAGGGTTACATGTGCATATGTGCATATCCACTGGTACCTCTCATGCTGATATCATTTTGATAGTGGTTGAATGTGTGGATTTATTCTGGACCCCTGCTATCACTTTAGGGCCCCAAAGGAGAATCTGTGATTGGTCCCCCAGGTCATCCTGGCATCCCAGGGCCAGCGGGACCCCCAGGGTATGGACATCCAGGACTGCGTGGCCCCCCCGGTCCTCCGGGGCCCCCTGGGGCCCCCGGGCCTCTTTCCCTGTATGGCTCAGGTAGTAAATGACATTAATATGTGTATTAATATGTGTATTAATACAGCCACTGGGATGTTGACATTCCTCCACGCATTCATTCGTGTCAATGCCAACTTTCTGCCAAATTTCTCAGATTTCTCACTCTGCTAAAGTCAATGAACTTACAGCTGGGAAAGGTGGTGTGATTTATGGTGGAAATTAAAGCCAGGACTACTGCTTTCTGGATGCATTTAGCACAAAGTAAAGAGTATCACTATTTAGAAAGAAAACATCTGCTGCCTGGGGCTTATCAAAGGTTTATGACTTTTCAAAAAGATATATTACTTCCTTTCGATATTTAATTTAAAGAAAAACAAACAGATTAAATGAAAAGTGTATGTATTTCCCTTAAGGTTAGCACATTCATGGCTGATGTAGAGACAAAGCACTCCCACGCACTGTTTCATATTCAGGACAGCTCTGGTTCAATATTGGGTGTGGAGCTGGATTTTTTTCTGGCCTTTTTATTATTTTATGACTTAAGCTGCAAATTAATGATGGGATCATCTCTTAGTTCCGGTCAGTACTTCATTTAGCAGAGGACCATGTTGGTGAGTTTGAACCTTTGTCTCAGAGTGGTTCTTCGTCGCTTCGTTCCAGCTGTCCCTATTCCGGGGCCTCCAGGCCCTCCTGGACTTCCGGGGTCGCCCGGACATGGAAACCCGGTAAGGAGACACCAGGAGCTGCTTCTCGCACATAAGCAGTGGGTTGTGGCCTCAGAGTGTTTTGAGCCTTATGTTCTCTAACAGGAGGTGCATTGTGTGAGGATGGGACCATATCTGAACATTTGATGGGACCTTATCTGTCATCTGCTGTTATCCTGCTTCTGAGATGGTCCAGTGTGATTGTTTTGGGCCCATTCTAGGTTACGACATACAGAGACGGTGACACTCTGGTACGGGAGATGTACCGCATGGCGGAAGGCACCATGGCCTATGTGTTGGACAAGGGCGAGCTCTACATCCGTGTGAGAGAGGGCTGGAAGAAGGTCCAGGTGCTGTACGACCACTTTTACCTGCTCCACTCAAGTATTCACTGGTAGTCACCATGTTGACAGCATTGTGCGTTATATTTGCTTGGCATGACCTTGGCCCGTTACATTAGCTTAGCATGACCTTGGCCCAATACATTAGCTTAGCATGACCATTGCCCATTACATTAGCTTAGCATGACCTTGGACCCATACAATAGCTTAGCATGACCATTGGCTGTTACATTAGCTTAGCATGACCTTGGCCCAATACATTAGCTTAGCATGACCATTGGCTGTTACATTAGCTTAGCATGACCTTGGTCCATTACATTAGCTTAGCATGACCATTGCCCGTTATATTAGCTTAGCATGACCTTTGCCCGTTACATTAGCTTAGCATGACCTTGGCCCAATACATTAGCTTAGCATGACCTTGGCCGACCTGACGATGTGCTTTTCAACCCCGCAGCTTGGAGAGCTGATCCCCATCCCAGCTGATAGCCCATCGTCAGCCTTGTTCCAGGAGCTGAAATGGGGAGAGGTGGAGCCAAAGAAACCCAACATCCTGAGCCAGGTACTGCTTGGGTGCTGCACAGGGGTCGCCTTAGGGCCATTAAACCTACCAGCTGAGATGCTGGTCTGAAGGTATGCTACCAGGAAGTATAAAATATCAACATGCCAAGGAGGTGAAAGAGAAGTGCTGTGATCTGTGGGAGAAACGGCATCGAGAGGCACAGTGGGCATCAGTCCCTGCCAAAAGCAGCCAATAAACCAACCAGGGGCACTAGGCTAAAGCAGTCAGTGACTGGCTGCTCATGGTACCACCACCTTCCATGGGTGTTTGAGCTTCTCCTCTCCCATAACTGCTCATTTTACTTAAGTTACTGACTGTTCCCCAGGGTTGTGATTGAGTGTGTCGTGTTGCAGGAGTTCCAGGACCTGCCAGGCTACAGCACCCTACCGAGCGTGTATCACAGAGCCCCCGGTGTGAGTCCTGGCTTCTTTTTCTCTCACTAACTGAGCTGGGCTGTGTTACATTGTGTCTCAGTTTTGTATTAAAGTGAAATATGAAAAGCCTTTTTGCTAATTTTTGCAACATGATGGTAAAGACTCCTAAAGATACCGAGCATGAATAAAGATGCACTTCTGCTCGGCGCTCGTTCCATTTCAGGCTCCATTTCTGCTCTAGCATGCAGTTTGTTTCAGAAGCTCTTGGGGGGTTTCTGGTAGAAGTTCCGGAGGTGCTTCGATCGGGATGTCACCGCATCCTGATAGTGATGTTTCTGTCCTGCTCTCCAGCTCCACCTGGTGGCCCTGAACGCCCCGTTCTCAGGTGACATGCGTGGCATCCGGGGGGCCGACTTCCAGTGCTACCAGCAGGCCCGCGCCATGGGGCTGGTGTCCACCTACAGAGCCTTCTTGTCATCACACCTGCAAGATCTCATCACCATTGTAAAGAAGGGCGATCGTGACACCGTGCCAGTCGTTAACCTCAAGGTCAGCTTGGGCCTTCAGACGTGCTGGGTGTTCTTAGGCAGACGAGCTCAGCAGGACTGGATGGAGCACCACTGCTCAGCAATTAGTTATTATTACAGGTGGAAAGTTCAAGTTCAGGAAGTACAAATCCAGGCCAAGGTTTTGTTCCAACCAACCAGTTGAGTATTATGTGAATATGACTCTTTATACTCCACTGGTTGGCTGAAACATAATCTTGGTCTGGATTTGTACTTTCTGAACCAGAACTTTCCACCTCTGGTTATTATAGCCTGAAATGTGACTGCCAGTAAACAGTATGACATCAGAGATAGGGCAGAACTGGAATTCACTGAGTCTCCAGGCAGGAGGAGCTTAGCTTTATATCTGACGCTCGTTTTGCTTGATGCTAACTCAAATGAAGAGGAGCTTAGCTTTATATCTGATGTTCGTTTTGCTTGATGCTAACTCAAATGAAGAGGAGCTTAGCTTTATATCTGATGTTCGTTTTGCTTGATGCTAACTCAAATGAAGACGAGCTTAGCTTTATATCTGATGTTCGTTT